AGACAAAAGGATTCCAAGGGAAAAATAACTGTCCTTTAAACTAATGACAACTGAATATCCACATATGAAGAATAAGCCAGACCCGTCCTCATATCATATTAAAAAAATTACCTCAAAATGAATCAATGACCTAAATAGAAGAGCTAACAGTATAAAACTCTTAGAAAAAATATGAGGTCAAATCTTAGTATACATCTGAGCGGTAAAAACATGCCCTACACAAATACTGTGTTCATAGCATGTGTGTTCATAGCAGTATTATTTATAATAACAAAAATGGAAATGACAACCACTTTGGAAAGCAGTATGGAGGTTCCTCAAAAGACTCCACATAGAACTGCCCTATGACCCAGCAATCCCACTTTTGGGCATTTACCCAAATGTTTACAAACAAGACCACACTAAAGCTTCCAGCACGACTATGTTTATTGCAGCATTATTTACCATAGCTAAGAGATGGAACCAACCCAGATGCCCCTCAGTAGATGAATGGATCAAGAAAATGTAGTATATATACACAATGGAATTCTATGCCTCCATCGGAAAGAATGATATTGCCCCATTTGTTAGGAAATGGAAAGACTTGGAAAAAATTATATTAAGTGAAGTAAGCCAGGCCCAAAGAAACATAGGTCCCATGGTTTCCCTTATTTGCAATATCTAGTTTATGTCTGAGTCAAGCAGAAAAGGTCAGATAAGGTGATGTTAGGAAAATGAACCCTAAGATATGTATTTTAAATGTTTTTTTTTCTTTCATACGATTATTTCTAACACATTTATAAGATTATTTCTTTGTTGCTTTGTATGTCCCTCCCCCACAGTATAACCCCTGCTTTCACTATATTTGATGTCGGTATAATTTGTGGAGGGGAAGGGGAAAAACAAATCATTTAAATAGGGATACAGGTGGACCCATTGCAACAATGAGATGTACAAGTCGTTATGTCGAAAACGAACTTTACAACTTTGGGTGGTGGGGTGGAGAGGGGGAGGGGGAGGATTGGGGGATGGGAAGGGGAAACAAAGGAGGAGGCTACAATGCTTGATAAGAAATGTACTCATTATTTGCCCATGTAATTGTAACCCCTCTATACAGTATTTTCACAATTAAAAAAAAAAGAGTGAGAGGGGAAGTGGGGAAGGAACAGATAGTAGGAGATAAACAAAGGAGGAGGTAACAATGCTCGACAAGAAATGTACTCATTACCTTACACATGCAACTGAAACCCCTCTATACAGCATCTTTACAATAAAATAAAATTTAATATTTAAAAAAAAGGAAATGATACAAATGCCACCATCTGATGATTAAAATGTTGTCAATTAATTCAGTACAAAAATTACTCAGTAAAAGGAATAAAATATTAATACATGCTACAATGTGAATAAATACTGGAAACATGCTAAGTAAAAAAAAAAAAGAAAAGGAAAAAAAACCCTAATTGAGTCTATTTATATGAAATGTCCAGAAAAGGGATATCTACAGATGGAGATAGGAAGTAGATGGCTAGAGCTGGGAAATGGAAGAAGGAGAGAATGAGGGCTAAAGGGCAGGAAATTTATTTTGGAAGGATATGCACAGTCCAAAGTAAGTTGTATTTATCTGTCTACACAACTCTGAACACTAAAGACCAATAATTTGAACATTTTAAATGGCATGTGCATTTTCTCAGTTACTTAGGAAAAAAAAGAAAAGGAAATAATAAAAGATGTTGTTTTGGGAAACAAGACATAAGGAAGCAGAGATGTGCTTCTACTTGGAAAAGAAAACTCTATAGTATAACTATCCACGACAACAGGCTCACTATCAACCTTTTAAAGGGAGCATAGTGAAAAATGGGGAAGAAGAATATTTATTGCTTGTTTTTACTCTTGGGTTCTTAAAAAAAAACTTGTGCATTTCTGTTGTTGTTTTTGTTGTCTATAGACACTAGTTATTTTTCTTCCATTTTTCTTGAAAGGCACAATTTTTGAAGATATGCAGCTGAGCTGAACATTATATAAATAATCTGAATAATATGGGATGTCTGTGATTTGTGAAAGGAGGCCAAATGAAGAAAGATAACTAAGTTCAAAGTTTAAAATCTTAGAAGTTTTCTCTTTGGATACCGAAGACATGTAAGTCTTTTGTCTTTTTTTAATGGAATAATCCTTATACTATCTATACAAATAACATTTACATTACACAAACTTTTATATATAACCTAGAGAATATTTAAAGTATTTAGGAGAATGTGTACAGGGTCTATGTAAGTGCTTCACCATTTTATGACATGGGGTCCTATAACCAATTTCCCACCGAAACTAAGAAACAACTGCACAGCTACATGGTATATAATGATTTTGCAGTCAATGACAAACCCCATATATTACAGTGGCCCTATAATCTTACACTGGACAGTGATGTTGCCAACCCTACTAGTTTAAGTGTATGCTATGATGTTCACAAATGACAAAACCAGTTAATGATACAGTTGTAAGAATGTATTTCTATTATTGAGCAAAGCATAGCACTTTTTCTCCTATTGACTGAAAGTTTAATTAAGGATAGTTAAAGAGAAACATGGGTCTCTTATTCTTCAGTTGTTTTATAAACATCCACAAAAAATGAGAAAGTAGAAACTGAGGAAATTATGAAGCAGAAGCATTTGAAAGAAAGCCATCTGACATGCAAAGGTAAAATTTTGACACATAATATAGAAAAAAAGGAAAAACAACAAAAATGAATTATTTATATTTTTAGGTACCTTCTATTCCACGGTTCATGACTGTTTTTTTGATACCCTTAATTGTCTGCTTGTTTAAATGATCTGAATTTTTTACTTTAATATTTGTTTGAACTCACTGCAAATAAAGGAAATTATCTGGAATTTTTTTTCTTGGCGTACATATTATGATATATCACCTGCCTCAAACGGTTACTTTAAACTTAGTGAATAATTCTTTTCATCAGAACAAAGTTTATTTTGTTTGGAGGGATAGTTTGCTTTGGTTTTCATGGATGATGTATAAATTCAGCAGAGCATGTAAATCCTCTCTTATTCTCATAGTCTTCCCACTGCTTTGGTGGGTTTTAAAGACATTCACTTTAAAGACATTGGGTTGGAGGTGTAGCTCAATTGGTAGAGCACTAGTCAATGAGTGAAGGAGGCAGATACCACGTTTGAGTCTTGGTCTCAGACCTATTCTGTGTAAACTCTCCTCTCATTGTTAAAGCTTCTGTGTGATTTTCCTTCAGTGTATTCTTGGCTAATAAATGCCAGCCTGGGTCATACTGATGCTTTTCCCTGGTATGAAATTTCCCACTTGTGGCATTGTGTTGGTTCTTGAATATTGTGTCTTTGGGGGTATATCAGATTTAGATCTGCTTTAGATGTGGAAAATACCAAGCTCAAGGCAACAGTAAGAGCTGCAATTTATTGGTTCGAGCACATTCTTGCTTCATAGATGGAGTCTTTTTGCTATGGTCTCCCATGATGGAAGGGATCAACAAGACTATTGGGCTTGTTGAAATCTGAGAATTCTGCCTTCATGGTACCATTGTTATAAATAAATATGCTCTCCAAAAACCACTGGAGTCACAACAATGGACATGAAAATAAAGAATTGCCCCAGCAAGGTAAAATTTACTTCTGCAGAAGGGTGCACCACCAGCCAAAACTCTGGCAAGCAAGCATACCAAGCAAAAGATTTAAAAAATGACATAAAATGAGTCAGGCACCAGTGGCTCATGCCTATAATCCTAGCTATCCAGAAGAATGAGATATGAGGATCACAGTTTGAAGGCAGCCTAGGCAGGAAAGTCCATGAGACTCTTATCTCCAATAAAAACTACTCAGAAAAAGCCAGAAGTGATGCTGAGGCTCAAGTGGTAGAGCACTAGCCTTGAGCACAAAGAAGCTCCGGGAAAGCCCCCAGCCCAAGTTCAAGTCCCAGGATCAGAAAAAAAAAAAAAAGACATAAAATGTTAAATTATACTGTAGGAAGATGCCATTCTTCAGTGAAATACCAAATACCATAGGACATTAAATGTTAATTTAAAAAAAAATCAGAAAAGCTTCAAAGTTGTTACTCTTAAATTCCTGTTACTTACTCTGGGATATCCAGTAAAAACAAAGTAGTTTTGAGAAGAGCCACTAATTTTCTTACTACTTGAAATAAATCTATGTTTCAGACCAATTTTTAAAAAAACTTACTGAGAGAGAGGCAAAAAGGAGGGGACACAAATGCATAGAGAAAGGGTGAGATAAAAAGTAATTTTTTCTGTAATCCTACCTATTCAGGAGGCTGAGATCTGAGGATTGTGGTTCAAAGCTAGCCTTGGCAGAAAAGTCCCTGTGAGACTCTCATCTCCAATTAAAAACTCAAAAACCAGAAGTGGAATTGTGGCTCAAAGTGGTAGAGTGCTGGCCTTGGGCAAAAGAGCTCAGGGACAGTGCCCAAGCAGTGAGTTCAAGCCCCACAAACAACAACAAAAAAAGTAATTTTTTTAGCTGGGCCCATGTGGCTCATGTCTACTTAGGAGGCAGAGATCTGAGGATTTCATTGTTCAGAGGCAAAAAGCCAGAAGTGGAGCTGTGACCCAAATGGTAGGGCCCTAGCTTTGAGCAAAAAAAGTTAAGGGACAGTACCCAGGCACCGAGTTCCATTGTTCCTATTGTCACAAGAAAAAAAAAAAAAAAGTATTTTTGGCCAATATTATTAGGAATATATTAATTCAAGAGAGAAATGGGAATGAAATCCTGACTGTAACTTTCAAATCACTTGAAATATCTATCCCCTCATTTTGAAAATTCAAGTACATATTTAAGTTGATAAAAAGTATCTACTTCTGGTTCAAATATAAAACTCAACATACTTTGTGTTGCTTCAAGCAGAGTGGCATCTCTGTTTGAACCTGATTAAAATTTATATAGAACGAAAGGGTTTATGCTGAAGAATACTTCCAATATCTACAATTTTAGAGCAATTACTTTTCCAGTAGAGTTCACTGTACTTACATCAATATCCTCTTGGGTAAAAGTTTCTGGATCTTCTCCCATCATGTTGGCTAAATGTCTCTTTCCTATGTTGAACTCTTCAATCTGCTTTCTAATAAATTCCTCTGTATACATTTCATGTCTCATGGCTGGAACATTTTTCTTTGTTGTTACAACCGTGGTATGTACTAGTCTTAATAGCTAAAAAAAATACAAATAAAAAAATTGAAATTAAACAGTGATCTATTAGGCTACTGTCTCTAAAGAAAAAAAAAAAAAAAACAGCTATCTTCTTTATAACAGTGCTCAGACCTTAGGAGTCCAGAAACAAAGTATAAAGTCCCTTTAAGAAAGTTGTTGCAAATCGAGGCCTGCACAAAAGTTTACATACAAAACAAGTTAAACTACTAGCATTTTTAACACATCAAAGCCCAAACATCCGTGTTTGGTGATGATTGGTAAGAGATGATGAGCTGTGACATTTGACACATATGGAGGGATATGCATATGCAGTCAAGTGAAGACTTAGGAGAAAGGGACACATCCTTGGTGTGACACCCCCCAGACTATAGGGTCACATAGCCTATGAGTTTAAAGCAGTCAAATGTCTTTTTTTTTTATTGTGAAAATACTGTATAGAGGGGTTACAATTACATGGGCAAGCTAATAGTACATTTCTTATCAAGCATTGTAGCTTCCTCGTTTCCCCTTCCTATCCCATCCTCTCCCCATCCCCCCCAACCCTCCCTCCCTTCGCCCCCCACCAAAGTTGTAAAGTTCGTTTTCGACATAACATTCGACAAACTACTTGTACGTCTCGTTGTTGCAATGGGTCCACCTGTATCCCTATTTAAAAAACTGTTTTTTTCCCTTCCCCTCCACAAATTATAACAACATCAAATACAGTGAAAGCAGGAGTTATACCATGGGGGAGGGACATACAAAGCAACAAAGAAATAATCTTATAAATGTGTTAGAAACAATTGCATGAAAGAAAAAAACATTTGAATACATATCTTAGGGTTCATTTCCCTAACAGCAACTTAACTGACCCTTTCTGCTTGACTCAGACATATACTAGTTATTGCAAATAAGGGAAACCATGGGACCTATGTTTCTTTGGGCCTGGCTTACTTCACTTAATATAATTTTTTCCAAGTCTTTCATTTTCTAACAAATGGGGCAATGTCATTCTTTCTGATGGAGGCATAGAATTCCATTGTGTATATATACCACATTTTCTTGATCCATTCATCTACTGAGGGGCATCTCGGTTGGTTCCATATCTTAGCTATAGTAAATAATGCTGCAATAAACATAGTTGTGCTGGTAGCTTTAGTGTGGTCTTGTTTGTGAACATTTGGGTAAATGCCCAAAAGTGGGATTGCTGGGTCATAGGGGAGCTCTATGTGGAACCTCCTCTTTTGAGGAACCTCCATACTACTTTCCAAAGTGGCTGAACAAGTTTACACTCCCACCAACAATGCAGTAAGGTTCCCTTCTGTCCACATCCCCTGCAGCATCTGTTATTATTAGAATTCTTGATTTTAGCCATTCTAACTGGGGTGAGGTGGTATCTCAATGTTGTTTTGATTTGCATTTCTTTTATGGCTAGGGAGGTTGAGCATTTCTTCATGTGTCTATTGGCCATCCCTCTTTCCTCTTCAGTTTCTCTGTAAGTCTTAAAGGGGGAGGTTTTGCATAGCTGAGACTTTAGTCCCTCTTTTCAATGGACATAATGAAGAAATTACTTCATAAACACTGTGAGGATTTCTTCTAATTTGGTACAATATGTTAACTGTAGAAATTAACGTTTCCTATCTTTTAAATCATCAGTAATTATATCTCAATGACTTAGGTCCTTTTACTCTATGGAACTAGGAATTTCCTTTCAAGATATTTGTATTTCGCCTTCATTGTGCTAAAGAATTAAAAAGATGTTTTCAAATGACATCTCCCTGCTCTGTAGCTGGATATAACTAGAACTAATCTAGTTGGCCCTGGCTTTTCTTAAATCTTTATTCTTGCCCCAACAACTCTAAATATTCATGCTTTCTAACTGTAGTTTTGGTAATGTACTTATTTCCTTTTTCAAAAACATAAAAATCTGTTACACATAAATAATTTACCAGCCCATCCCTCCACTTCCTCTCTGAAGATTCTAAATTAGGTCACTGTACAGAAATTTGTCACAAATATAAGGAAGAAACAGGAAAAATATTAGAATACTCAATTAGCAGTTAAGAATTATGTTCTTAAATGCTTCCAGGGTAATATAATGACTTTTCTTTCTATGCTTTCATGGGTAAGAAATGACCATTTAAGCCAGGCGCTGGTGGCTCACACCTGTAAATCCTAGCTACTCCGGAGGCTGAGATCTCAGGATCACAGTTCAAAGCCAGCCCAGGCAGGAAAGGCCATGAGACTCTTATCTCCACTATACTACTGGAAATGGCCCAGAGTTTAGGCCCAGAGTTCAAACCCCATGATCGACAAAAAAAAAAAAAGAAGAAGAAGAAAAGAAAAGAAAAAAGAAATGACTATTTAAACTGTAACTTATTTTTCCTTAAAAGAGCACAAAGGAGTTTCTGCTTTTTACATGAAGTATTATAAATCAAGTTATATTTTCAAACAATACTTTGTAAAGACAGTGAATGTTACTATTGGTGAGCAATAAGATCATGACTCACATGTACAATAGTTACCCCTTGTCTGAAGGATGAATTCAGTACAGTAGAATATTATAAATTATTGAAGCTACACTCCTAGTATGCCTACTTTATAAATTAAACTTACTATAGTTATGTATGTGCTGGTAAAAAAATACAGGACATAAAGAGTTTGGTTCTATCTGAAATTTAATACATCCACTAGGAGTCTTAAAATCCATCCCCTACGGCTAAGTGGTAATTTTCCCCAAGTTCCATTGCCAAAAGAATGATTATACGTTTGAGATGTATGCCGGACACCTCAGGAGGCAGATAACTCTGGGCAGGCACACAGGAGTGATGTGAGCTGAGGTAGGAGTAGAGGACTCTTAGAAATCCTCAAGAGACATGTGCTGACATCATCAGAGTAGGGGAGATGGCAGAGATGATCAGTGTTAAAATAAGAAAAGTCTCTCTATGCAAAGGAGCAAAATAACATTTAAGTGAAGAGTAGGCGGAAGGCTCAGAGGCTCTTACCTCATGGCTACTGCTTTCTTTGTGGAATAAAGGGGATGGCCTGCTGAGAGTACAGAGGTAGGTTTGATTAAATTATACTTCATATTCAATGTCAATGGTGCAGTGGTTAAAGTGCAGACAGAAAAAAATGACATGAAAATATTGGAAAGAAATTAAATATCACTCTTTAAAGCATATTTGTGAACCAGAAGACCAAAGTAGATGGAAATCAACATATATTTAAATGCTTTGCATTTAAAATTTAGGCCATGTTAGGTGCATTTTCTCCTTTTAAAGTACTATCTATTAGTAGATAAAACAGTAGTTTCAATGGTTTTTCACAGCTTTTCTGTCTTAAATTTTACTTTTCCCATTTTTTTTCTCTTTTTCTTTTTGGTTTTTGAGATAGGGACTAATATGTAGCTCAACCTGGACTCAAGTTTATAATCCTTCTGCCTCAGTTACCCAAGCTAGGATTAGAGGTATTCTTGTTAATTGCATAAAATAGTTTCATTGTAGTATGTCTACACATACACACAAGGTACTCCAACCAAATTCACCTTCTCTATCATTCCTTCCTATTTATCTCCCTGCTTTTAACAATTTAACAGGTCTTATTTTTCTATTTCTATACATGTGCATGAGGTACCTCAATCACATTCCTCCCTCTACTGCCTTCTTTCAACCTTCCTCCTCCTATTGGTCACACTGCCCTCGCCCCTAAAAAAAAAAAGAAAAAACCTGTCTATTTTACACTGATGTCATCTTGAGGTTTCTTTTAGGTCTATCTTCCACATGAGAGAATATGTCATTTCTCTGTCTGACATATTTCACTTAACATGACTTACAACTCCATCCAATTTTCTACAAACTAATTTCATTCTTCTTTATGGCTGAATAATAGTCCATTGTGTATGTATACACACACACACACACACACACACACACACACACACACACACATTTCTGCATCCATTCATCAGCTAATGGGTAGCTAGGCTGGTTCTATTATTTGGCTACCATAAATAAAACTGCTCTTTAGATTTACTGTACAGTGATTTTTATTCTTTTGGATATATACCCAGGAAAGTATAACTATATAATATGGCAGTTCTATTTTTACTTTTTGAAGACCCTCCACTCTGATTTCCATAGCAGCTGCACTAATTTACATTCTACCAACAATATATAAGGGTTCTTTTCCCCCGACTCCTCACCAACATTTCCTGTTGTTTGTTTTCTTGATTATAGTCATTCTCACTGGGATAAGAAGGATCTGTGTTGCTTTTATTTGCATTTCCTTTATGGCTAAGGATGGTGAACATTTTTATGTATTTAAGACTATTTGTCTGACTGTTCATTTGTCCATTAATTGGATTGTTTATTTTGGTGTTTAATTTTTAGCATTCTTTATATATATATATATATATATATATTTCCTAAATATCAGTCCTTTATCTGATGAATAACTAGCATTTTATCCCATTCAAAGAGTGGGCAGAATGGTTGATTAGGAGTAACAGAATGATTGTCTCTTGGTTCTGCTCGTTGTTTATGCTGTGTATGGTTGCAGAAAAGACTGAACAGCCAAAGTAAAGCAAACATAAACAAAGAACAATGCTAGGTACCACAACACCTGGCATCAAATTATACTACAGAGCCATAGTAACAAAAACAGTATGGGAGTTCTGGTACAAAACTAGACCAAAGATCAATGGAACAGAAGATCCACAAATAAGTCACATAGTATAGCCATTCAATTTTCAACAAAGACACCAAAAGACATGTTGGAGAAAAGATAGCCTCTTCAGCAAATAGGACTGGAAAACTAGACATGTACATGTAGAATACTAAAATTAGACCCTTACATCTCTCCTTATACAAAAATTATTTCTAAGTGGATCAAAGATATAAATATTAAGGCCTGAAACTTTCAAACAACTAGAGGAAAACACAGGCAAGACTCTTGGTGATACAAAATGCATTTATTTCTTAATAGGATTCAACTTATTCAGGAAATAAGAGCAAGAACTGACT